GAGCTGGCAAGCTTACTCTGTCTCAGTATGTGACACCCTCTACCATGTAATAATACAGCAAGAAGGCCCTCAACTGATGCTGCTGCCATGTTCTTTGGCTTCCAGGCCCCCAGAATGATAAGCCAAATAAACTTTTATTACCCAATCTGTTATTTTGCTAAAGCAACAGAAAACAGACTAAGCCATAATCTAAGGGAGTGGGATGGAGGCTGAATAGCAGAAGGAAGTCTCTAGTTTTCTCTCTTAAAAAGATTTTTTTTTTTAATTTGAAAGTCAAAGTTACGAGAGAGGGAGAGACAGAGTGAGACAGATACCTTCCACCCACTGGTTCACTTCCCAAATGGCTGCAATAGCTGGAGCTGGACTGGGCCAAAGCCAGGAGCCAGAAGCTTCTTCTGATTCTTCCACATCGGTGCAGGGGCCCAAGAATTTGAGCCATCCTTTGCTGCTTTCCAAGGCACATCAGCAGGGAGCTGGATCAGAAGTGGAGCAGTCAGGATTCAAACTGGTGCCCATATGGGATTCTGGTGTCATAGGTGGCAGTTAACCTGCTATGCTGTATCACCAGCCCCTCTAGTTCTCTTAGCTGTGCCTGCCTAGAATAGTTTCTGCAACACACGGCTTGGAGTAGGGATGAGAAAAGCAGGCAGCAGGGTGAAACTGTAGCCCCAGACTAGGAACTGGGAGAAGCGAGAGCCTTACCTACCTGTCATCTTCTACGACACCTGCCCAGAATAGAGTGCTCAGGTAATACAGTACTGGCAAGGTAGGGGATATGGAGCAAGCTGTTCCTTGAAGGCCACAGTCTCTTGATGTTCTTGAGATTTAATAGATTATCTTGAATAAATACTTCTCCATCTCCTGAATACCCTTAGGACAGTTCTCAGACACTTTAAATTACTGCTTTTTTTAAAAGATTTATTTATTTACTTGAAAGTCAGAGTTACAGAGAGGGAGAGGGGAGAGGGAGAGCGTCTTCCATCCACTGCTTCACTCTCAAGTTGGCCGCAATGGCTGGAGCTTCGCCAAGAGCCAGGAGCTTCCTCTGGGTCTCCCACCTGGGTGCAGGGGCCCAAGGACTTGGGCCATCTTCCACTGCTTTCCCAGGCCATAGCAGAGAGCTGGATTGGAAGTAGAGTAGCTGGGACTCGAAGCAGTGTCCATATGGGATGCCGGCACTGCAGGCAGCTGCTTTATCCACTATGCCACAGTACCAGCCCCAAATTATTGCTTTTTTTAAAAAAACAGTTTAAGATTTATTTTTTCATTTATTTGAAAGAGTTACAAAGAGAGGTGGGGAGAGAGAGAGACAGACAGACACAGAGAAAGGTGTCTTCCATCCTCTGGTTCACTCTTCAAATGGCCACAACTGGAGCTTAGCTGATTTGAAGCTAGGAGCCAGGGGCTTCCTCTGGGTCTCTCATATAAGTGCAGGGGCCCAAGCACCTGGGCCATCTTCTGCTGCTTTCCCAGGTACATTAGCAGGGAGCTGGATTTGAAGTGGAGCAGCTGGGACTAGAACTGGTGCCCATATGGGATGCTGGCACTGCAGACTGGGGCTTTAACCCACAGTGCCACAGTGCTGGTCCCCTGAAAACACGACTTTTACCAGCTGTATTTTTATTTAGCTGGAGACAGGCTCTACTGAGCTCCTTACGTTGCCATTCTAGAAGTCCCACCCTTCAATTTATTTTTTAATGTAACTTCTGACTGGAAATGTGGTGCAGCATAATGAAGGATGGACTGGGTGTCAGGAGCCAGGGTTTTTATCACAATTTGGTCTCTAGCAAGCTCAGTGACTTCTCTTGAAGTTCTGTTTGCTCATCTGTAGAACGAAACATGACTCCCAAACTCCTTCCAACTCTAAAATCCTATGATTCTGTGAAACAGAAATGCAGTACAAAGTCACTAGTGAAAAAATTCTATCGTAGCTGTGTGAGAACAGGAAATATGGAAACAATCCACTAACATTTTTAACTAAAAATGTTCCAGTCTGTTTTTAATTAGAACATGCTCTTCCTTTCCAACTCTACCTAGCTAATCAAAATGCTAGCTTAACCACAGTTTTGCCGTCAAAACATTTCTCCACCCAAAGGTCTCCTTCCTAATCATTAGAATTGAGAAACTGGGGGCCTTTCACTGATTGGTCATCAAGAATATGACAGCTTAATGCTAAGTGAAAGCACTACAATTTGCTACCATTTTACCCACATCATGAGCTCTGCAAGTAATTACTTTCTCTCTTAAACAATGGCAAATATTCACCTTCTACATAAGCCTATAAAGGCCATTCTCCCTGTACTTATTCTTCATGTGTAAATGACAAAATATCAGTCTTTCCAGGGCACTGTGGACAAGAGTTGCTTCAATGGGACACTCATTTTTTAGTCACAAAGACATAATGTTTATGTAGCAATGATTATCTACACAGGTTGTGGCAAAGGGCTTCCTTGGCTATGTTATTTTGTCTTAACTAACTTGTTTTGCCAGTTTACTTGACTTCATATTGTCATTTGCTATACAATTTACTTTCAAAATCTATATACTCTAAAAGGGACTTTTCTATAATTTAACAAAAGCATAAACATATTTAAATGCTTTCAACTACTAATCCACAACAGAGCATCCTGAAATAAAGCTACAAGGTAAGAGAATTATGAATATACATTAGGAAAAGTTGCTACTCACTGACACCATCAGAAGTAGGAAGGATAGGAACAAGATAGCAGGCAGTATGGACAAAGTGATCCAGAAACAAGGAATCATACAAGTTTTCAATATCTTGCCTTTAACACAAAACACTTTAAAACAGGTATATTTACAAATTGAGCTCTGTCAACATCTAAGGGAAAGAAAAAATATTTATCTTAAGGTATATAAAAGGTGTCAATCCCTGCAGAGAAAAAGTAAATGCATACCTAGCTTGTTCATGTCCAAACACTAAGGCTTCTGATTCTCACAAATGACCCTCAGACTTGGGCTGTTCAAAAATTTCCAATTGAGTCCATCTGCTCACCAAGATATTTCTATGTTAAGAACCTTCAGTAAGGCATCTGGCCCAGTTTTTATGATCTCAAATTACCTTGGCTTCAATTTAATTTCTGTAAACTGGGATTCCCTTAGGAAAAAAGTAAAATTTTCATTCTCCAAAATAAAGGGATATAAAAGAAATAAAACTGTATTGTCTTATTTCATTTTCAGAGCAATATTCCAAAACTACAGCTTATTCATCCTAATACCTTAAAAAACATTGGCTACAACACTGGTTTAGAAATTCATATACTGTGCCTTTCGCATATGTACTACTGTGATGTGAAATCAGTGCGTTATAATTAAATGCCCTTGTTCTTGGCATTTCCTCAGAGTGAATCATCTGAGGAAGCTTTGCTTTCATCCTAATTCGTCTATTATTTCCCTGTATAGAACCACCTTAATAGGATGTGGTTAAGAGAAATGTCTTTAAGACTTAGTTATGGCCCCTACAATAACCATGTTTTTCAGTTAATTTAAGCTTTTATTAGCTGAAAAAACTGGTTAATGACAACAGTGGCCTCGGGACCACCTGCAATCATATCGAAAGAAAATAGCTTCACATCTATTAGTAGGGAAATTATTCCCACCCTGAAAACATTTCTACTCTCTTGGACTAGAAATTCTCCACATCACAAAATGACTTACTTTGATCACTGCTATTCACACTTCAAAATGAATTATTACTAGTGGTTACTTCAATCTTACCTATTTGTTTAGGCAATATGCTAAATCTTTCCCATAAGCATCACTGGAAATGTACGGAAGGAATTAACAGAGAAGCAAGCTATCTATCTAGACTTTAACTACCTTTCCAGTAACACAGCTCATTTATTTAAAGGAATGATGTTGTTTTCTACTCAGAACAATAATGCCTTTGGCTTCAGATTAAGAAATGTCAAAACAAAACCAAACACCCCTTCCCCAAACTATTTTGCAGTTGATTATGCGCCTCAGTGTTACTGACTTTAAAAGAAGATCCTGGGGTCCATGTTGTGGCATAAGCTGCTGTCCATGATGCTGGCATCCCATAAGGGCACCAGCTGGAGTTCTGGATGCTTCACTTCTGATCTACCTCCCTGCTAATGGCCTGGGAAAGCAACAGAGAATGGCCCAAGTGCTTGGGCCCCTGCACACACATGGGAGACTTGGATGAACCTCCTGGCTCCTGGTTTCCATCTGTCCCAGCCCTGGCCATTCTGACTATTTGGGAGTGAACCAGTAGATGGAAGACCTCTGTTTCTCCCTCCCTCTTTTTGCAACTCTGCCTTTCAAGTAAATAAAATAAAAACTTTTTTTTTTCTAAAAAGCAAGATCCTACTTCATTTACTCTAGTTTTAAATACTAACAATGAAATACTGCCTCCAAATTACTTATCGAATTGCCTTTATATAACAAAGTTGATAATTTTGCTAGGTAAGTTTAGATATTCACACAACAGTGCCAACAGTACAAAACAAAAAATATTAATCTTTCCTATACCAAATTTCAATTGAAAATTCATTAAAACCATAAACCAATAAAGTACTATAGGCCCCTTTTTGAGAAATAAAACCTTATTATATATTATTATGTGACCATTCATGAGATATCCAAATTTCTCAAACTGATTACTACAAAACAAATTCACATCAGTAAAGAGAGAACTAAGTGAACATATACCCACAGTTTAATGATTATTTCTGAGATAAAATTTTTTCTGTGTGTGTGTGTGTGTGTGTGTGGGTATGTGTTTTTCTCCCCCAAATAAAACATGAATATATTGCCTGGGCTCCTTCTGGTTACATCAGGCTTCAAGGAACTCATTAAATGACTGAAAAAAGGGAAATTCTTGAAGTCAAGCAATCCAGAAGTGTTAAAGCAGATTAGAGTCCTTCCCATCTACAGAGTATAGATATATATTTTACCCTCTCCTATTTACCGAAAGGTCTTTGATATTTTTGAAATGGACATTAATTTCTACACATGTGTGAGCATGAACAAGCACACATCCTGTTTACTTGTTTCTTTGTACAATTTCAGAGAGCAAAAGCAGTGTTTTTAAGATGGAAATAGAAAAGGCCATTAACTTCCTAAGCTTTTTAGTTCACTCCTAGTATAGCAATTCTCAAATTATATCATAGTTTAGAAGGTTTTACAGAAAAATGGACAACTTTTGCTCAGGAACAAAAGCAATGCCTCATTTTGATGGAAAAATTAAATTTCAATCACTAGATGATATTTATAGTACCTGTTAATGATGAGGAATTTTCTACACACCAACAAGAGAATTATGAGTTTTCCTCCAAAAAGTACATAGCAGCAAATACTTCAAAACCTGTAAGTAAAGGTATCTACCAATGAAGAGATCACAGCTATAAATATATGTCCACTTTTGACAAAGTATTTAAATGTGCTTATCATATCATTTTCATATCAATGAAGTATTTCAACTGGAGGAGGGAGAGAGGGGAAACAAGGAAGCTGTCCTGTCCTGTTTTTCTTTAAGAAACAGCCTCTTGCCCTCTAAATTGTCAGAATCAAGGAGGTTTTAAAGAAACTACACAAATAAAGAAACCATATCTGATTCATATGATTATGGATATCAAATGGATGTGAGGTCTCATAAAGGGTAATAGGGTAGATAAACAAACAGTAACCAAAATTTATGTGCTGAACAAAACCAGGGCAATAATAAGAAAATAAATTGGGGATAAATACAGATAGCACACTTAAATAGACTGTGAAAGATGTAAAATTCAAATTCCCCTTTAGATCAGTCTTACATAAAAGAAGGAGTATAGGAAATGGGAATGTATGACTTTGCTTTTAATAAAACAATTCTGTTTCAGTGCAAATGAGTAGTCCAAAACAAAACCAGAAAATGTCTCATGTGACTTAGCAGGAACAGTTTCCACAGCCTTTCACACTGTTGACAATTTCTTCTTGTAGTTTCTTCCTTTCCTCCTCCTTGGACATACTTTCTTTCTTTGCATCCCATTTGGGGTTATCATGGTTCTGCACACGGTTGCTCTGTGTGTGCCACATTTCTGAATAGATACTGCCTGGGTTAGCAAGCAAACCATGGTGGGTACCACGTTCAGCTACCTTACCCTAAAAGCCAAACACAAAAGAAACACAGGGAAAGGTCATTTAACTAGCACAATAACTGAAAATACATAACCATTTCTAACTAAGGATTTTAAAGGATTTGCATTCATTAAAATACCTCGTCCAATTCCTCACCCATAGTGTAAGTGGGAAAAATGCTTGCTTCACTGTTGAGTTATGCAGGCCCAGTGAACAAACAGAAAGCTATGAAATTCTTCATACTGTAAAAACCATTTTACTTAAAGGAAATACAATTTTAATGTGTTATTTTTCACTTTGAAAGGCAGAAAGGGAAGGGTAAAAACATAAGAAGTGCTGTCTGTAATCAGCAAATATTCAAGTCAAAAGCACTGTTATTTATACAGGGATTTAAAAATAATATTCTGAAATCTTTATGTATACTTAAATAAAAAAGATTTCATGAAAATGAAAAGTTTGCCTCTTCCAGTAGCTATTTTTGTTAACAACTGCTATTAAACTTAACATTGCATAGATCTGGTATAGATTCCAAACTCTGATCTACAATTAATTTGTCTCTTGACAGCTACAGTTAAACATGCTGGGAGACAAAAGGAATTTTGTCACTTTAACTGTTACAAATACACCTTCAAGCAAAATAACTGAAATTTGTTGGTGCCCATGTCTGAGTACTGTATTTACACTTATTTTTATATACCTTTATTTATGTAAAAACACCATTTTAAAGGTACCTTTGCTAACATCAGTCATATCATAAATTTCAGTGCAGCGTTTACCTCATTATGTAAAGAGTGAAGAATGGGGTAGTGGGAATATGGGATTGTATAGAACACGCTAAGTCTCCATCTATTACCTGAATCAATTATTACAATGGTGGTTGCAAAATGTGATTTTCTAAGTTTATCTTCTTTCTACATGTCAGTCGGCACTCTTTAAGTTTTACATGTTTTTGTTTAAAGTATCATTATGGAGGCACAGATTATTGTTTAATTCACTATATTATAGTTCATTAGTGTCACCATTCCTTTTGATGCTTCTCCTTTTGGCCAGTGGGAGCTCGTTCAAAATAGCTCTTGTGTCTTTGTGACATGCATACTTTGTCTCCCAGCCCCAGAACTGAAATCAGCTATTTCTCCAAGGAGTCTTGGTTTCTTTTAGTGAGGAAAAAAAATATTTAGTGCCTAAGATCTGGATGTCAGGATACTCATTGCTAGTGTGTTTTCATGGGCTTTTCAGTGAATAGATAGTTTCTTTAAAATTATGAATTTATACTGATAATTCAGTTCTAATACATCATCATGAGGTTCTTCCGCTTTACCCATTCCATATTTGTATCTTCCTTCTCTCAAGTGAGACCTCTGTTTCCAAGAACATCAATATATTACTCAGATGCTCAGTCCTAAAATATATTATAAAACAGTTTTGGAATGGTTACCCCCATACTAATACCAACAACTAACTTATTAACTTTAAATTTACTTTGGAGTTATTTTAGTTATTAAGATATATTCTACCAGGGCCGGTGCTGTGGTGCAGCGGGTTAAAGCCCTGGCCTGAAGCGCCAGCATCCCATATGGGTGCCGGTTGTAGTCCTAGCTGCTCCTCTTCCAATCCAGCTCTCTGCTAAGGTCTGGGAAAGCAGTAGAAGATGGCCCAAGTCCTTGGGCCCCTGCACCCACATTAGAGACCCGGAAGAAGCTCCTGGCTTCAGATCTGCACAGCTGTGGCTGTTGCCATCATCTGGGGAGTGAACCAGCGGATGGAAGACCTCTCTCTCTCTCTCTCTCTGTCTCTACCTCTCCCTGTAACTCTTTCAAATAAATAAAATAAATCTTTTAAAAAAAAAGATATATTCTACCAAAAGCACATAATCAGAGTGATGTATTCAAAAGTTACAAGGATTAATTTTATTTGTCTTCTGCGTGGTTATCAATTTGATAGTTAGTTTTGCTTTTTTCTGTTTGTATTAAATTTTTATTCTTGTCTCATTTTGTTAATTTTATTTTTGAAAATATATAAAAATACTAATAAGGCTGAAAGGTAAAAGCAACATAAAATAGCATACTCTGAAAAGCCTCATTCTCTTCCTGATCTCTTCTAACCCCCTGCAGATTTAGTTGCTTTTGTTTCTGGTTTATTCTTCTTGAGTGTGTTTTTACAAATATATTCCCCACTCTTCATCCTTCTTATAAAAAGGTAGCATCTGATATACTCTTTTGCATCTTGCTTTTTTAACAATACATCTCAGAAATCATGCCATAAAAGGTTCCTTTACTTTTTTCTTAATAATATCTGTCCATATTTTAGAAATGCTATATTTTCCATGACCTTTGAGAATAGTAATTATATTTTAAAAGTTTTCTTATGCCTTTTGCACTATCCACATTTTCTCAGTTTCTTTATTCCTCCCTGTTTGTTTTGGAGGTCTTCTTCCATTACCACTAACATTTAAAAATGAGGCATTAAAGGCTGACTGGAAATTCTGTGAGCATGGGAATGGCCTTCCCGACCAGTAGACCTCACTGTGGGATCACCATATGGCCACCTGGTCATTTTATTGGGGTCCCCAAATAAAAAATATCCTTCTTTCTGAGGCTGTTATTTGTTTCTCCAGAGAAGAATCCTCCAATTGTATGCTGATGAAAGAAGGAGTGGTGATGGCAGAAATAAACAACTGGTTGGCAAAGTTCTTGGAACTAATGGGACAAGAGAGTTTGTGGTCCCATCCTTTGGCATGTTCTGATTTCCAGTTAACTTCTCCTGATTTTGTTAAAGTGTTTGGTGGTTTCTTTGTGGCTAGGGCTGACTCTAATTACCTGGTAAGTCAGTGTCCAGCCTCTTGCTAAGGTTGGGAATGGGTTCCAGGGGTGAGAAAGGGTCCCAGGAACTCTATTTCTTATGTAAACTTGCACTGAGTTCTCTAATTTTTAGCCGCATATTCACCCCAACTTTCCTTCATATCTGGTACCTTCAATTCTGGAGCCTTTTCAGGAGATTACAGCATGTATCAACTTGCTTTTTACTGATTTCTCTCTCTTTTGGCACATAGTGTTCATCTTTTTTTCAGCTCTTCTAAACATTTTTATCTACGACCATCTTCCCCAAACTTGTTGATTATCTCTTGTCCATTATTACTGCCTTTCCTATATCTTTGTCCTTGTGAATTTATATTTATTACCAATATTTTACCTCTTCACTTACATTTTATATGGTTGGGGGAGCAAAGATAAACAGGTATGTCCAATCTTCCATGTTTAACTAGACAACTGCTAGGTATGTCATCTTATTGATAACATGGTATTTTTGAGGTGACAACCAGTCTGAACAAGGTCATATTAGTTTACTACACAATGGAAATCTGATATCTTCATTATCAGACAACTTTACCATCATCAAATTATTGATATAAAGATTTTAGGCACAGGTGCTATGATCATTAATAAGTTAGTTCCACTGATAATACAGAACCCATGTGCCAACATTGTGCTATAACTGTACAGATACTCTGAGCCCCATGGCATAAGGCAGGCAAGCACATGCCTGCTTTTCCAAATGCATGACTGTATAGAACTGGAAAGCTTAGTAAAAAGCACAAAATAGATTTTATTTCAGATTCCTGAACACCAACAATGTAATAAGTTATATCTGTAAGATGTTCCGTTTATATTTTGGTACAATCATACTGGTAAAATCAGTTTATTTTCTAATGAATATAAACATTTATGAACATAGCCTAGAAAGGCCTAGGGTCACAAGTGTACAAGTGACTTATAAAGGAAATAGCATATTTATCACAGCCCTGAACAGCATATAATGATTTTTAGTATGGTGAAAAAGTCTCTCTCCATAACTCAATATATAGAAAGCACATGCAAATGCATCTTTTCTCTGAATTCTCAGTATACAGGCTTTCAAAATGATAAACAACTGAAGGTGCATTTATTAGAAAGGAAAAATAATCACAGAAAAGGCTGAATGCGAGGTGGAAAATAGAACAATGTCAGAAATAATCAAGTATTAGGGTTTGGGAGAAGAGGTCCTTGCTGAAAGGAGAAAAGGAAAATTATTACAATTTTCAAATCTACCAGTCACAATAGTGGACCTCTGATTTGTTCAGAACATTTAGATAGTATACTTGTATAGTAATTCCCTCAGAAGAGATAAAGCAAACTGTCTTTTTTTTTCTTACTTTCCACATAGAGTAAAACAGAAATTAAAAATGGCTGTGCTTGAAAATGACCAGTTTATGGTAATTTTCTTTTGTATATCAGGGTATGTGCAAAATTAGAAAAATGAAAATACACAATAAAGCAAAAATATTGAGCAAAGATTCTGTCCAGAGCAAAAACAAGTGTGGAAAAATTGTTTTATTATACATGCTTGAAAACCAAAGTTTTGCTTTGAACACTTCAATAGAAAGTGAGTTAATACAGTTTATTCCTTCTTGGAAGTAACATGCATATTTCCTATCAAAAAGGCTAAAATCAGATTCCTACCAGGACTCAGTCTGAATGCAAATTCTATATAGTAGAAACAATAGTAAAGTATCCTGTATCTATAACAATTGTCAATGTTCTTTAAATCCTAAACTGTAATCTCTTACCTGATTCAAGACAATGATTTCATCTGCATCAACCACTGTTGACAATCTATGTGCAATGAAAATAGAAGTTCTGTGTTTGACTACATCCCTCATGGCTCTAAGAATAGCCTGAAAGTTTGACAAGAAGAGTAAAAAAATAAAAGACATATCCATCAGGTAAATATACATTAAAATAATCACACATTTCCTAAAGGAACATATAAAATAACAATTTTTATTGTGTAAATTTTATATCAGTTCCAAATATTTGACCTAATCTAACAATTATAGTACAACTTTTAATTTGTATTCACATTTTTAGGTTTACAGTTCTTGTAATCAGGTTCCTAAGGCTCACTTTATATCTAACAAATCCCCTTGCTAGCCAATATACTTTGAAATTAAAGTGTATTATGATGCTGATCAAATAATGCATCATGAAACTTAGCTCTACATGCTAATATTATTTCATACAGCCTGTAAATTACAGCCAAAATTAGGCCTATCCTTCAACACTTGGTTCATACTACATACTAAATCAGAAGGTGGATGAATGGCGGCAACTGACAAACAACATCTGCCATCTTTGGTTCCCGGTTAAGGGGATTCAGTCATGAAATTATCATTGCTGTTGAGATTTTTGTATGTAATGGAAAGATGTTTTGAAATCTAATGTAGCTTCTAGGGTAGTGTCAATATCAGTGCCACAATATGTTGATGTTTCACAACACCTTCTGTGAAATGAACACAAACTGACAACAGCATTGCAGGTTATGTGTGCCTGACTTGCACCTCAGTGAGTCACTTCATAAATGAAAGGCTTTATGGTGTACACTGTCACAAGTGTCACAATCACCTGTATGACTTGTTTAAATGTTAAGTGGCAGTAGGACAGATACTAAAGAATCTCTTCTTTTGTCAGCATATTAGGCAATTCTTACAGCTTTGCAAGACCCAAGGATTACACCACAAAAGTATAGTGTCACACAGTTTCAGAGGAGACATTTGCAAATAGACTTAACATTATGATAGTGAGCTCAGTGCAACCTGGGATTCTTACCATCAAGCATTTGCTAGATGGGGGAAAGGGGATACTAAACATGTTCTGTAGCACCTCTCGCTAAAGTTCATTTGAAATTCAAAATAATATACCCATTTAATGGCAACTTCCAAGGAGAAAAGGTAAACATTAAAGAGTTTCCTATTTTCATCATTATTTACCTCTTCAGTAATTGAATCTAATGATGAAGTAGCTTCATCATAGAGAATGACTGGGGGGTCCTTTAAAATGGCTCTTGCAATTGCTACTCTTTGCTTTTCTCCTCCTGGTAAAGAAAAATTTTAGTTTAGGGAAGCACAGTGGCACAGATGTACTTTATGTTTCTAGTATTTCCATTGATTGTAACCACCAAATGATACTTCCAACATTTACCTAAACTACTGATCACTGTTCATTTTACTGAGTTGTAGAGTCTAAGTTCATATATGATATCCTCTGACAAACAATATTCCCTGAAACATAAATGTTAACGCTGAAATCTCACTTCGTGGGAGGCAAAAAGAACGATAAAAAGATTGATTCCACAATTATTCTTTACACCATATATATGCTCATTATATATGTTACTTTATATTACAGATACTTCTCAATGAACCTCAGCAATCTCAGATAGAAAAAGTTTGGTATTAGAGAATTGACAAAACCAAAAACAAATCCAAACTGGAAACTTGAAGATGTAATCTGAATATCTAAATTTATCTTGTATCATAGAAAAGAACCATTCAGCCAGTATTATCAAGGAAGATTTTTGACAGAAAGCTATTATTTTCACAGCACTCTTCAAAGTTAAGGTTATATATTAAATATCTCTTACTTCCTTTTAGTTATTTTTTATAAATCTGTAGCATATTGAAGTGTTAAAACTGAAAGGAAACAGAGGTCCAAAACGGCTTAGGGATTTGCTCAAGGTCACAGAACAAGTTTCAGCAGAATCTAAACTAGACTTGACTGACTCCCAGTCCAATGTTCTTCCTTTCAAAACATTTATCCTTAAATATAGGAATAAATATTTAGGAAATACATCCTTTCAAGCTTTAGCTATCATTATACTTTTGAATTAAAATAACCTGGGGCAAAGAAACATTTTTATGGAACATTCAAAAATATTCAGGGTCATTTTAGAGTAATTTATTCTTAAACCTAACAATATCATAATTAAACATTTAAATAGAAATGCACAAGTTGCCAAGTTTCCCTGACCATTGAGTTAACAAGCACATGAAAAATGAAGTTGGCTGTAAGGAAAATATATCAGTTAACAGGATAAGTATAAGAAGGTCAAAAATATCAAAAACATCCTCTGATGATACAGGATATTAAAATGAAAGATATACTATCCACTATTAAATTACTTCTCTTTTCCAATACTACTAGGTGAATAACAATCTTGGCGTTCCTGATGATCATGGATAATCAGTTATTATCCGCACTCATTTGAGTATCTACCTATATTTTACTTAATATTAAGTACCTATAGTGTTTGCCACTACAAGTGGGGGGAAAAACTTGCACAACTTGAGAATACTTACTTTTAGGATGCTGATTGTTTACAGTGACAGGCAGGAGATTGAGAACCCTATCAAGTGTGACTGGATGAGCACTAGAATTGACCTCTGTCTTTACATTTCCTAGAAGATGGCTCTGACAAATTCAGAGTTTGAAGGGAGTACATGAGTAACGGACAGGTCTAAAGTCTCTGATTACCTGAAAGCTTGAGTCCTCGTTCCCCTACTTGGGTATTGTATCCATGTGGCATTCGAAGAATTGCTTCATGGAGTCCAGCTAATTTTGCCACTGCATACACTTCCTCAGGTGAAGCACTAATGTTTCCATATAAGAGGTTGTAGTAAATAGTATTATGGAAGAGGACAGCATCCTGAAACAGATTTGTAGATAAATACATACATAATATTTATTATAAAAATTCAAACAATAGTAAAGATATAAAGGCATAAAGAATGAGACACGACAGTCTTTTCATCACTCCCATCCCTGCAATCCCATTTTCCTTCCCAGATAATCATCATGAACAATTGGCTGTGCATCATTCCAGACCTTTTCAATGTATTATATACTTAAATATTCGCTTTGTTCTCCACATAAGTGGACTCATTCTACACAATTATTTTGCTTATTGATTTTTTTCATTTAACATATCCTAGAGATTGTCTACATCAGTAACAGAAATCTACCTCATTGTTTCTAACAGTTGTATATGCTATACTATGGATATGTTGCAATTTATTATTCATCCACTTATTGATGGATATTATGGTGATTTCCTAATTTTTATACTGCAATATTAAAATAAAAACCTATGACTTAGTGTGCCTGTGACAGTATTTCTGTAAGAAGAATTTTTAAAAGTAGCTTGATGGATTAAAAGGTAAATATACATCTTCTGAAAACACTCTACTGGCAACCAATAGGACATGAGAGTGCCAGTTGCCCATATCCTAAGCAACCCTGGATATTAGTAATGTTTAGGTGGTACCATTTTTATAGGGGGGTAGGATATTTCTTTTGTATAAATTAGCATTTCTGTAATTACTAATGAGGTTGAATATGTTTTCCTACGTGTCTAAGAAGCTTTAACATTGGACTTACAACACAGAGGACAGGGCCCAGCGCTGTGGTGCAGCAGGTTAAAGCCCTGGCCTGCAGTGCTGGAATCCCACATGGGCACCAGTTCAAATCTCGGCTGCTCCACTTTCGATCCAGCTCTCTGCTATGGCCTGGGAAAGCAGCGGAGGATGGACCAAGCCCTTTGGCCCCTGTACCCACATGGGACACCTGGAAGAAGCTCCTGGCTTCAGTTCAGCTCAGCTCCAGCCATTGTGGCCATTTGGGGAGTGAACCAGCAGATGGAAGACTTCTTTCTCTCTCTACTTCTCTCTGTAACTCTGCCTTTCAAATAAATAAAATAAATCTTAAAAAAAAAAACACAGAGGACAGAGAACTTACACACATACACTATACACACACACACACACACACACACACAGTCATTCTCTAAGCTAATTCATCATTGATTCAATTATATATAATATGGTATATGTACGGTATAGAAACCCACCCCCCCCAAAGTTACTACAAGCATCCATCTGATAGCACACTAAAACGAACTTACTTAAAGTGAACATTCATCTCCTATTGTTCTCTTAGTCTCTTTATGGTTAGAAAGCAATAGCACAGTGAAATAAAATTACTCTATTTGTTCCCATTAACAGAAACAACAAATTAAAATTGTCTTTAACAACATAATCAGACCCAGAATTTCAGTAACTCCAAATATTTTAATCACTTATATATCTACTATTTTTTTTTTTGACAGGCAGAGTGGACAGTGAGAGAGAGAGACACAAAGAGAAACGTCTTCCTTCCGTTGGTTCACCCCCACAAATGGCCACCACGGCCGGTACAGCGCTGATCCAAAGCCAGGAGCCAGGTGCCTTCCCCTGGTCTCCTATGCGGGTGCAGGGCCCAAGCACCTGGGCCATCCTCCACTGCCTTCCCGGGCCACAGCAGAGAGCTGGACTGGAAGAGGAACAACCGGGACAGAATCCGGCGCCCCAACCGGGACTAGAACCCGGGTTCTAGCGCCGCAGGTGGAGGATTAGCCTAGTGAGCCGCGACTCCAGCCCTATATATCTACTATTAATATAAAATTTCTCATATTGAGATGATAAACTTTAAAAGTACAAAGTTCTATAAATAGAAACTATTTTAAAATACTCTGTGTTCAGAAAAAGTTAACAAACAGATGCTAACTGAAAAATTTGAAAATATCAAAAGTAAAATAAAATATGGGACTTTCAACCCTGATTTTTTGCTAAATGGACAGATTTTAGCAGTTCTTGCCACAGATAAAAATAATGGGTAACTATATATAGTTATGGTTATTTGTGGGATATAGTAATTTGCTTCACTATAGAAACCATTTCATTATCTATATGTATTCCATAATATGTTTTACACCTTAAATGCATATAATAAAATTTATAAATAAAAAAAAACAATTAACCCATAATCCCATCATCTGGAAATAACTACTGAGATATTTTGATATATTTCTCCTTATTTCTCTACTTACATATATTTATTAATATTATCAAATGTGGATATTATATTTTGATTGGCATCTTTTTTTGTAACAGACTTTGTATATACCTATTTTTCTAGACATGTGATTTACTTAAAAACACACTATTTATAACTGGCCATATGACATTTGATCCTACAATGATAATTTAACCATCTATTTATACCTGGACATTTATATTGTTTCCAACTCTTGCTATTATAAATGATGTTCTAATGAACATCTTTGTGCATAAACACTTGCTTACATCTCTGTTTATTTCCCTACTCAAATTTTCTAGAAGCAGAATTATTGGAATAAGGAATATGAATCGTTTTTCAGGCACTAGACACATATTGCCAATTTCCTTGTTAGGAAAGCTATATACTTCTATCAGCAAAACAACAGACCATCTATTTTACACAGCCTTGCCAAATGTGGGCATTATGGATTTCAAAATCCTTGCCAAATCTGATAGGTGAAGAATAATATACTGGTGTTGATTTAATTTAAATTGCTACAGGCTTCAATGAGGGTGAGACTTTTTCCTTTTGTTCACTGCCCATGTATAGTTTTACTTTGTGAATATTTTTTTTTCAAAAAGATAAGGGTAATTTGTACAAAGCCTAGGAGAACAGCAAGAATATAGTTACAAGCACATGAAGTCCTAAGTATTGACAACCCAGAATCCAATTCACTAGACATATAGTTAATGCCAATGTTTCTCAATGTGCAATCTATGAATCACCTAGGAAACATTAAAAAAAATGCAGGTTTCTGGGCTCCATACTGCCCTCTAAAATCAGAACTGAGGTGTGTGAAAGACAACTGGTATTTTAATAATCTCTCTAGGGGACTCATACTCAGTAACATTTGGGATTCTCAGGAAAAGAGAGGACAGAGAAGCACGCCATGTGTTAAATCAGTTGGGGGCCATTTACAAGCTACATGTTCCTGGCCAATCATCTTCTCACAGTTCCTTGCCACCACTTCCCCCATATTTTGATCTATTCTCCAAGATATTTGATTCTAGTTCCAGGAATTAACTTATAAGAAACATTAGCTGTGGCTGGCGATGCGGCTCAATAGGCTAATCCTCTGTCTGCGGCGCTAGCACACCGGGTCCTAGTCCCGGTCGGGGCGCTGGATTCTGTCCCGGTCGCTCCTCTTCTAGGCCGGCTCTCTGCTGTGGCCCGGGAAGGCAGTGGAGGATGGCCCAAGTGCTTGGGCCCTGCACCCCATGGGAGACCAGGAGAAGCACTTGGCTCCTGCCTTTAGATCAGTGCGGTGCGCCAGCTGCAGCGCGCCGGCCGCAGCGGCCATTGGGGGGGTGAACCAATGGCAAAAGGAAGACCTTTCCCTCTGTCTCTCTCTCTCTCACTGTCCACTCTGCCTGTCAAAAAAAGAAAAAAGAAAAAGAAACATTATCTGCAACTAATTCTCAGGTCACTTGATAAGTTTTCAACATAAGAGAAACTTATAACCCATAAAGCTACCTACTTCTTGTCTTCTCAGATCCTTACTCAGAACTTATCTCTAGCCCTTCCCCCTGTTCCCACTGTAGCTCAGGAAGTATTTATGAAATGTTTACTATAGGCCAGACACTGTGCTTTGAACTAAAAGTACAACAGTGAACAAATCATACAAACTATTTTATAATTGTTATTAAATTCACTATATCAAAAACTACTCAAAATTATAAAACTTTTCATTCACTGAATAATTATTATTGAAGGATATTGTACTTGATGCTTTTATCTCTAATATATAATAATAATCCTATTCTATAAGATAAATGGTATCCTTATTTTACCAGTAAGGAAACTGAGGCCCAAGTGCACAAAGCTAACAATTAGGGCTAGAATCCAGGTCTGGAAGCCAGCATTGTGGTATAGCAGGTAAAGCCACTGACTGCAGTGCTGGCATTCCATATGGGCACTGGTTCAAGTCCTGGCTGCTCCATTTCAGATCCATCCCTCTGCTATGGCCTGGGAAAGCAGTGGAAGATGGACCAAGTCCTTGGGTCCCTGTACTGTGTGGGATAACCTGAAGAAGCTCCTGGTTCCTGGCTTCAGATCAGCTCAGCTCCAGCTGTTGCAGCGATCTGAGGAGTTGAACTGGCAGATAGAAGACCTCTTTCTCTGTAACTCTTCCTTCCAAATCAATCAATCTTTTTTTTTTCAACATCCCAAAATCAATAAATGTGATAAACCACATTAACAAAATGAAGACCAAAAACCACACGATTATCTCCATAGATGCAGAGAAAGCTTCTGACAAAAATTCAACACACTTTTATTATGAAAACCTTAAGCAAACCTGGTATAGAAGGAACATTCTTCAACATAATCAAATCAATTTATAACAAACCCACAGCCAGAATCCTACTGAATGGGGAAAAATTGGAGGCATTCCCATAAAGATCTGGACCCAGACAAGGATGCCAACTCTCACCGCTGCTATTTAATGTAGTCCTGGAGGTTTTAGCCAGAGCTATCAGGCAAGAAAAGGAAATCACAGGGATACAAATATGGAAGGAAAAAGTGAAACTATCTCTATTTGTTGATGACATGATTCTATATATGGGCAACCCAAAAGATTCCAAGAGGAGACTATTGGAACCCATAAAAGAGTTTGGTAAAGTGGCAGATACAAAATCAACACACAAAATCAATACCCTTTGAGTATACAGGCAGTGCCACAGCTGAGAGAGAACTTCTAAGATCAATTCACAATAGTTATAAAAAATTTAAATACTTTGGAATAAATTTCATCAAGGATGTCAAAGATCTCTATGATGAAAATTACAAACATAAAGACTTTAAAAAATAGAAACATTTCCCATATTTATGGATTGGAAGAATTAACATCATCAAAATGTCCATACTACTGAAAGCAATTTAGAGATTCAATGCAATCCCAATCAAAATACAAACAACATTCTTTTCAGATCTAGAAAAATGATGGTAAAATTCATATGGAAACACAAGAGATCCTGAATAGCTAAAGCAATCTTAAACAATAAAACAAAGCTGGAAGCATCACAATACCAGACCTCAAGACATACTACAGGACAGTTATAATCAAAACAGCCTGGTACTGGTACAAATATCAGTGGAGCAGAATAAAAATTGCAGAAATTAATCCACGCATCTACAACCAACTTATCTTTGACAAAGGAGCTAAAATCAACTCCTGGATATAAGAAAGTCTCCTCAACAAATGGTTCTGGGAAAACTGGATCTCCACATGCAGAAGTATGAGACAAGACCCCTACCTTACACCTTACACAAAAATCCACTCAAAATGGATCAAAGACCTAAATCTATGACCTGATACCATCAAATTACTAGAGAACACTGGGGAAATTCTACAAGACATTTGCAAAGGGAAAGACTTCTTGGAAAAGACTCCAGAAGCACAGGCAATCAAAGCCAAAATTACCAAGTGGGATTACATCAAAATGAGAAGCTTCCGCACTGCAAAAGAAAACACTCAGCAAAGTGAAGAGGCAACAGAGAGAATCGGAGTAAATATTTGCAACTGATAAACGATTAACTTTCAGAATCTCGAAAGTGCTCAAGAAACTAAGCAACTACAAACCTAGTCAAGAATTGGGCAAAGAACCTGAACAGATATTATTCAAGAAGAAATTCAAATGGTCGATAGACACATGAAAAAATGCTCAGGATGGCCAGCTGTCAAGGAAATACAAATCAAAACAACAATGAGGTTTAACCTCAACCTCAATAGAATTGCTCTCATACAGAAATTAACAAACAATAAATGCTGGCGAGGACATGGGAAGAAGAGTACCCTAATCCATTGTTGCTGGGAATGTAAACTGGTACAGCCACTGTGGAAGACAGTATGGAGATATCTCAGAAAGCTGAATTTGGACCTATCACATGACCCAGACATCCTACTCTGGGAATTTATCCAAAGGAAATGAAATAAGCAAATCAAAGTGTGAAAGTGTGATCTGTACTCCCATGTTCATTTCAGCTCAATTTACAAGAGCTAAGATATGGAATCAACCCAGGTTTTCATCAATTGAAGACTGCATAAAGAAATTATGATATATACACACTATGGAATACTACACAGTAGTAAAAAATGAGATCTTGTCATTTCCAACAAAATGGATGCAACTAGAAACTTAGTGAAATAAGCCAGTCACAAAATGACAAATATGATATGGTCTCTCTGATCTGTAGTAACTAACAGAATACTTAAAATGTAATCTATAGGATCAAAACTGAACCTTAAGATGCGATAACTGAACAGTCTTGCCTTGACTGTCAATGAACAATGATTTTATTGTGTTTTTGTTCTTTTATTTTTCTTTATACTATTTGGTGAACTCTCTACTTAGTGTAGGGTTCACCTTAAGAGTATAAAATTAACTGAAAATTGATCTTGGTAAAAAATAAGAATGGGGGGGGGGCGTCGCTGTGGCTTAGCAGGTTAACACCCTGACCTGAAGCAACAGCATCCCATATGGGTGTCAGTTCGAGACCTGGCTGCTCCACTTCTGATCCAGTTCTCTGCTATGGCCTGGTAAAGCAGAAGATGGCCCAAGTCCTTGGGCCCCTGCACCCACGTGGGAGACCTGGAGGAGCTTTTGGCTCCTGGCTTCAGATCGGCGCAGCTCTGGCCATTGTGGCCAATTGGGGAGTGAACCAGTGGATGGAAGGCCACTTTCTTTCTCTGCCTCCCCTCTCTCTGTGTAACTCAGACTTTCAAATAAATAGATAAATCTTTTAGAAAAAAGAATGGGAAAGGAAGAGGGAGGAGGAAGAAAGGTGAGAGTATGGGTGGGAGGGAGGTGGGGGGAAGAATCACCATGTTCCCAAATCTGTATATATTAAATGCATGAAGTTGTATTCATTAAACAAAATAAAAAATTTTAAAAATTGGTGTTGGCAACAGAATTTCACCTGTAGGGTCCAAAACCACCCATTTCATTAGCATATGTTTGACTTGTTGGATTCAAATTATTCTAGTTATAGGTCCACCACCCCAGTAAGTCTTCAAAAATTATTTTCTATTTTTAAATACCTGCGGCACTACTCCCACTGCCCTTCGAAGGCTTTCCAGGCTCACATCTTGAATATTTTGACCAGCAAGGTAAATGTTACCCTTTTGAGGCTCATAGAAGCGAAACAATAGCCGCACTATTGTGCTTTTCCTGAAAATGGAGATGAGGAAAGGTTATTTAGCTCCTACTGGCATCAGGGCAGCCCTGTTTTAAAGCATGGTAATCATTCAATCATGATAAAGAAAAAGAATATTACACTAGGAATCTTCAGTCAATAATGTAGAAGTTTATAAATAACTAAATTACCCACCCTGACCCACTACCTCCTACAATGGCCACTTTCTTTCCAGCAGGGACTTCAAAAGACATTCCACTAAGGACTTTTTGCCCCTCAATGTATTCAAAATGCACATTATCAAAGGCCACTGTAGCTGTCTGTGGTGTGATCTGAAGGGGAGATGCCATCACTTTGTCCTAGGCAGGGAAGAAAAGAAGAAGAAAAAAAATGCCACTTTATACACTGCCTAGAATATGTTGATGCACACCATATTTTAATTTACAGTGAGAAAAAAGAGAACATAATGGGGGAAGGAGGAGGTTTGTAAGTGGATTTAGACCACTTCCAAGCATAAACATACGTTTTTTGCTAATGTTAAAAAACCCTGAGTGTTTTGGTTTTTAGGCAACTTTTTCTTGGGCCGGGTGGAGGATGGGGCAGAGAAACAGGGCTGGAGCTGAGAGAAGAGGCAATCATACATTCGACATCATTATTGGCAAAATAAATCCAGTGTAGGTACAAATAGCTGAATTCAAGAAACTTCAAGTTCCAGGTATAATCTCTGCTAACACTGTAAGGTTTTTAAATAGAGAAGCGAAAAAGTTCTAATTCCTTAATATACATGATAGCCCCAATTCTTACTAGAAAGTAATTGGTTTACTAACATAGTAATGTAAGAATAGTCCTCTAGAATAATCTTATTAATGGGATGTTGCTCGTATACTTTTTAAAAGGTACCATATAGTTTACTTACTTTAATTCGGGTGTCTACCTTGAGTAGAGTAAACAAGGTGTTCATATCTATGAGTGCTTGTCTAGTTTCTCTGTACACAGTTCCCAGAAAGTTAAGAGGTAATGAAAGCTGAAAAAGCAGTCCATTCACCATTACAAGATCTCCAACGGTAAGGGTTCCTTAATTTGCAATTGGTAGAAGGGGGGAAAAAAAGATATTTTAGATGGATGCTATAAACTTCTCCAGTTTACAACAGAGAAGTTCATATGTGACTCAAAATATACATAATCAGCAACTCCTAGGCCTATTTAATTTCAAAGCTTTCTAACTCATGATTTAGGTAATATAGATAACTTGGCATACACTATGTGCAATGGGAAAAGCCCACATATATACCATTTCTAATATATACAAAAAGAATGGTTTAAGTGAGGACAGAAGTAGAAGGCTAAAAATCTCTTCTTTCCCCCAAGAATAGTTTCTCTGTACTACAAAATAGAATTCTTTTAAAAAGAGCACACATAAAAAATTACAGCAAAAGGAAATGTCTGAAAATAAATAAAAAAACTAATATAGTAAAAAGTTGCTGGTAGTTCTAAAAAATAAAAGACTCTGCATTTTTGTCCTTTGGACTAAACGCTAAATTAATTACATTACTTTCCAGGTCTACAAGAGTAATTAGAAATACCAGATGCTAAAAAGAAAGCTGTTCCTGAAACAATCAGGTTACAGACACAAACAAATACATCCACAATAATTCCCATCAATGAGAGGACTACTGTTAAACAAAAGGAACCAATAAAATTATCAAACAAAAGAACACACTGTGATACAAAAAGTAAAGTACTATAAAAAGCACTTTATAGAACATCCTTTACACTTAAGATTAATATACACATTCCTTTCATTAATTTTTATTTATAAAAGTTAAAAGATCTATAAATGCAGGAACCACAGATCCATTACCTGCCACAATTCCCTGACTGGCGAGCACCATTATAGCTGTTAAACCGACACTGAAAATAGCACTTTGACCAAAGTTCAGCATAGCCAGAGTAGAGGTACTTTTCAAGGAAGCAGCCTCATATGTCTTCAAAAATCCATCATATCTCTGTGCTTCATATTTTTCATTATTAAAATACTACAAAATATATAAAAACAGTAACTATAGGCAAGTACAATTGAAATATATTCTCTTAAGTGATTAGTATACTTTCAATCAGACTTCATGTATAGATACAATTTTGTACTGTTGGACTCCATTTTAAGAACTTTCAGTACATTGGACTATATGGCACTCTGGCAGCTTTCCAAAATGGATTGTATTTGCAAATATTACAAAATTCATCCAACAAACACCTGCTGGATGCTTAGCTAATTAGAATCTAGATTTAAAAAGCTTTCAGTGACACTACATTCACAAAGCCTTCCCTTGACCCTGAGACTCTGAATGGCCATTTCTAATAGCCCTCACAGCATTATGTCTTCTTGTCTACTCACCTGCATACTTACTTTAACTCTCTCAGTGGATTATAAAATTCTGGGAGGGCAGAGATTACACAGTAATCATTTTTTACCACTACCCACCTCCATCACAGTTCTTAGCATAGTGGTTTGCACGCAAGAGGCATTCAGTAATTATTTTGTTAAATGGAAAAACGAATAAATGTAACAATTAATACAAAGCAATATGCTAAGCTCTCTGAAAAATACAGTCAAGAATTTACAGGCCATGGTTAGATTAATGTTCATTATGAATAAATATACTAATTGGGGATAGGCATTTGGACTAGGGGTTAAGATATCTGTGCCCCATATTGGAGTACCTGTTTTCCACACCAGGCTCTGAATCCTGACTCCAGCCATCTGCTAGTGCAGACGCTGGGAGGCAGCAGTGTTGGCTCAAGTATTTGGGTCCCTTTCACCCACACGGGAGACATAGTTTGCATACCTGGCTCCCCTCTTCAGCCTGGTCCAGACCTGGATATGACAGGCATTTGGAGAGTGAATGGAAGCTTCTCTTTCTCTCTCCTCTCAAATTAAAAATATTTTCTTGGGGGCCAGCGCTATGGTGTAGCAGGTTAAGCCACCACTTGCAGTGCTGGCATCCCATCTGGGTGACAGTTTGAGTCCCCACTGCTCCACTTCTGATCCAGCTCCCTGTTAATGTGCCTGAGAACGCACTTGAAGATGGGTCCCTACCACCTATGTGGGAGACCTGGAAGAAACTCCTGGCTCCTGACTTCATCCTGGCCCAGCTCCGGCCATTGTGATCTCTCTCTGTCTCTCCTTGCTTGCTTTCTGTAACTCTTTCAAATAAATAAATAAATAAAGTCTTTAAAATTTTTTTAAAAGATGCTAATTGTATATTTACAATCACTCATAAATTAATTTAGAAGGTAAAATTGTGATGTTGCTAAACAATAACTAAGGAGGAAAGAAAGGACAATTTTTAAACAAAAGAAAAGCAACAAAGCAGTATTATACCATCACACCTAGAAATCCTACCCTAATCTTAAGCAGTAACTTACAGCACCTATTAAATTAAATGGCAGAACAAATCTTAGCGCAGTGTGAAAGGCAGAGGCAAGTATAATTAAACGTATTACCTTCACAGTTTCATAATTCAGCAGTGAGTCTATAGCAGCGTTACCTGCATCATTATCCGCTTTGTTCATTTCTATTCTAAATCTAGTTCTGTAAAACAAAGATTTGCACAGGCATGAAGTGTATGTTATAAAAGCATAACTGATTTCTGAACCTTTACTGGCTTCTGGGAAATAGCCTACCTCCATCGTGTGACTGCAACTGTGAATGCTGTGTATGCACTGAGTGTTCCAAGGGTTACCAATGCAAACTGGGCACCACATTTGTAATACTGGACAAAGAAGTCAAAAGAAGAAATGAGAAACAGTCACTGTTCTTATTCAACAGTTTATAATATATAACAGCAAATCTCAGTCAAAAGATTAATTTATTATCAGTAAGTTATTTTTTACTATTAAATATAATGGTGAGAAGTTGTATATTAAAAGGTAGAAAATCAAATACCCTGGAAAACTTACTTGATTAATAAGTCAAACTTGCCACACTTATATTACTACCAAATACTACTAATAAAATAGTATAATATATTTGAAAAGGAATTACACTGGGGCATGTGTGTATCTATGTGTACTTTTAACTACAAAAGATGAAACTGCCTAAAATGCTATGAATAGATACCTAGATATTTTGAGAATATCAGTCCAATGCCATAGACAAAAATCTCTGCTAAAAAAAAATCTTGCAAATGCTGGTTAGTGATTGATCTATGTGTAGAACTGAATGGTTCTTTATAACATGATGAATGGATGGAAGATCTCTCTAATTCTGCCTTTCAAATAAATAAATAAGTCTTTAAAAAATGCTAAAGAATTTGAACCATCCATTGGAGTTTGTGGCAAAAGAATTAGCCATGCTGTATAATCTTTCTGGCATCATGGAAATTTCAAACCCTTGGTCATATAACAACCTAACAGCTTCAAATATTCAATTGCTATGAATGAGAATGTTTTAAAAAGCTTGTACAAAAATATTTTACTTACCAAAACACTACTGACAAGTGTCATCTCGAACATGATGGGAAGAAGATTAAATACTAAAGCACTTAGGACAAAACTGATACCCCTTGTCCCTCTGTCAATAGCCTTAGATAAAGCTCCAGTCTGTCTGCTCAGGTGGAAACCCAGATCCAGGTTGTGAAGATGGAGAAAGACATTTTTGGCTATTCTTCGGATTGAATTTTGGGCTACCTTGCCAAATACTGCATTTCGAACTTCATTAAAAAGGGCAGCTCCAGCTCTTGATACACCATCTAACAATATATTCAAAAGAAAATACGGGGCACCAAAACATTAGAATCATAGGCATTTAAAAATGACAAGGGCTCAGAAAATGTTTGTACAATGAATAATTCAGTGAATGAATATGTCACACAATATTAACTAAAAGCAACCTAGAAACCATCCACCCTAATAAATACTAACCTTTTCACCACCAGGAATCCCTTTCAGTGTTATTTTCCCTGGATTTCAGATATTGAAAGATTTTTTTCCAGTTAGAATACTTTTAATAAATAACAGCCCACATGCCCTTATTGTGGTTAAATGTACAATATCTATTGAGGGTTTTGATCTAATTCAATTCCCCCAAAACAAATGACAAAATTGAGATCTCGAAAAATCAAGTGTGCAGCCTAAAAGCACGTCCCACTTATGTCTCCCATGTGATCTTTCTAATGCACTGGGACAGAGTATTCTGTTTTTTTTTTTTTTTTTTTTTTTTTTGTAATGAGAGATTCATGTCATAGCTACTGGATATATTTTAATAAAGCAGTAATATTTGTACACATTGTTACAATGTGTTATTTTCTATTTTACAGCTAACATCAAGAAAATACCAGCTTTACTGGAAAGATATCTTATAAAAAGCCTATTAGAAGTGGATGTTATGAATTTAATGTCTTATTTCATATTTTTGTCTTCTAGAACTTGAAAAATACTAACACTAACATAGAATCTTTTGAAAGTATACCATATAAGGAAACTGAAAACAAAACACATAAAGAAAAATCTCACATAAAATAATAAACATCCAAAATGCTAAAAGATCATCTGCTCAAATATGATGAAACCTTCCTGAAGAAAGTCAACACCTGTAGACAGATTAAAGAATCACACATACAGCCAATCAGAACTGCTGTTGCCATGGTTGCAACTGTATTTGGTGCATCACTCAGGTTCAGCATGTTTCCCGACATCTGGTTGAGGCTGTCTACAGCATATTTAAACATGAAGGGAACAACAATATTCATGGCCTAAAAATATAAAAACATCAATTACCTATCATAGGAAAAACATCAGTTTATAAAAGTACAAATATTTACCACAAATTAGCACTCATGGTAATGTTTAGATATTAATCATTTACTAGTACTGAAGTGACTTCCTCAATTTATAAAGACAAAATCTTTGGCATTAGGAGAGCTGTCATTTCAGGACTCCTACATCACAATGCCATGTTAATATTCATATACAAGTTATGTGAATTAGTCAAATGTTCCACCTTCCATATAATCAACCTTGATCAGTCACTCAAAAATATTCTGTTATCTGAAATCCTACAAAGCTAATGGAATAAACAGCAGCAACTTGGCTTTCTCCTATAGTTATTTGTGTACATATTTTCCCTTGCAACCAGATCCTTGAGCTTCTATATCACATTTCTCCTTTTGTCTCACTCATTCTGAGTACAATGCTTTAGATGCTGTACGTATTTAATAAATATTTTTAAGATGATTTATTCACCATAATAATGGTTAAAACTGAAATTATATAGCAAAAGTGATCTCAAAAGCAGTTAAATTACAAATATCTGTGGCTGATTCACTACTGAAAAAAAAAATCAAAATGACACCAACAGATCTATTTGCTCCATAAAAAGATTCTTTGCAATACTATCATACAAAACAAAATCCACTGAATATCAAACTAAGCTTTAAATAACCAACCTATTTCCCTGTAATACATCAAAAGAAATTTTTAAGAGACAATTTTTAAGAGTACAAAGCTTTTATATATTCAATGCAAATATTTAGCCATTCATGTTTCACATTTCTACAGTTACAGTATAAAAAAATCAACTATCATTTGGGAAGAGCAAGTTTGTTAGATTGCCAAAGTTTTCTTTAAATAATTAAATTGATAGGGGCCAGCACTGTGGTGCAGCAGGGAAAAGCTGCCGCCTGCAGTGCCGGCATCCCGATATGGGTGCCAGTTCAAGACTTGACTGCTCCACTTCCGATCCAGCTCTCTGCTATGGCCTGGGAAAAGAGCAGAAGATGGCCCAAGTGCTTGGGCCCCTGTACCTGCATGGGAGACCTGGAAGAAACTCCTGACTCTTGGCTTTGGCTTGGCTCAGCTCCAGCCATTGCAGCCATTTGGAAGACTGAACCAGGGGATGGAAGATACCTCTCTCTCTGCCTTTCTGTAACTCTGCCTTTCAAATAAATAAATTTTTTGACAGAGCTAAACAGTAAGAGGGAGAGACAGAGAAAAAGGTCTTCCTTCCGTTGGTTCACCCCCAAAATGGCCACCACGGCCGGAGCTATGCCGATCCAAAGCCAGGAAGAGGAGCAACTGGGACTAGAACCCGGCGCCCATATAGGATGCCGGTGCCACAGGCAAAGGATTAACCAAGTGAGCCATGGTGCCAGCCCCAATAAATAAATTTTAAAATGAATTAAATTGATATACATCAATAACAAGGGAAAATAATTCTATAAGCCTTCATAAAAACACTGAAATCCCAGTTCTTGTTAATGTCCTATTATTATTCCACCCATATTTGTTAAACATAAGAATTTATTGCTAAGAAGTTTAAGTTCAGCTATAACTGATAGAAACTATTTCAATCTTACTAATCAAGATTTCAAGGTAAAGTATATAGGAATCTTGGCAACCATGCCAGTGATTTAATAGGCAACAACATTGTCAAAATACACAGCCATCTCACTAGTCCAAGTGATCAATTTCAGTTCACAATTGATCATAATGATAGGTCTAAGAGTCAAAGAGATCACATAAACAAGACTAGTGTCTGCTAATACTATCTGATAGAATTAAGAAGGAGAGAACGATCCAACATGGGAAGCGGGATACACAGCAGACTCATAGAATGGCAGATGTCCTAAATAGTACTCTGGCCTCAGAATCAGCCCTTAAGGCGTTTGGATCTGGCTGAAGAGCCCATGAGAGTATTTTAGGCATGGAAAGCCAAGACACTCTGGCAAAAAAAAAAACAAAAAAAAACCACAAACAAAACACTTAAATGAAAGATCTCTGCGAGTGAGATCCTAGTGGAAAGAACAGGCCATCAAAGAAGGAGGTACCTTTCTCTGAAGGGAGGAGAGAACTTCCACTTTGACTATGACCTTGTCTAAATAAGATCGGAGTTGGAGAACTCAAGAGGCTTCCATAGCCTTGGCAACTCATGACAAGAGCCTCAGGTGATTACTGATGCCATAAACAAGAGTGTCAATTTGTTAAGTCAATAACAGGAGTCACTGTGCACTTACTCCTCATGTAGGATCTCTGTCCTTAATGTGTTGCACAATGTGAATTAATGCTATAAAAGTACTCAAACAGTGTTTCGGTGTGGGTGCAAACTGTTGAAATCTTTGCTTAAGTTGATCTTTTGTATATAAAGATAATTGAAAATGAATCTTGATGCGAATGGAATGGAAGAGGGAGTGGGAGACAGGAGGGTTGCGGGTGGGAGGGAAGTTATGGGGGGGGAAGCCATTGTAACCCATAAATTGTACTTTGGAAATTTATATTAAATAAAAGTTAAAAAAAGGAAAAAACACACAGCAGGAATGCACTTAAAAATGGAACATTTTGAGATAAATTGCTTACAAATTTAAAGTTTCTAACTTCCAAAATATAATCTAATAGAATATGTGGCAGGTCCCAAATATGATTTGTTCCAATCACATAATCTTGGGCCTGTGCTTCTTTTTGAATAGTCTCTACCTCTTCAAACTTCAAAGCCCAACTTGAATCCCATTTCTCGTATAATGCCCTCTCGGAAACTTGCAGCCAATTTGGCCCTCTCCATTTTCCAACTCCTTTTATTTCATAAACTATACCTCAATATTTATCACTTTTATGATATATTTCTCATTTACTTTGCTTCCATGTATATTAATATGCACATGGATTTATTGCTTTAGTACAAACTCTTTGTGGGAAAACAAACATTTAGTGGACAATAACTATACGAGTCAGGTATGGTGTTAGGAAACTTTCACAAGAGTTGAAAAAATAACTATAAACAATCTATTATTCCTATAGTTGAGGAAATCCAGGTTTGATGAGATTCAGTGACTTATTGGGTAAGCAGTAAAACTGAGATTAAAATTCTGACACTTGAAGACAGAATTTTTTCTCGTATACCATAGCCAAATTATCAGCTTATAAGACAGAGACCATATACTTTACTTCTTTTGTACCCTAAAATGGATGCTCTCAAATATACAGCTTAAACCAGCTCCAGCTGTAAAGTATGTCAGAAGTAATTTAAATGAATTTGAGCAAATTCAAGGTTTTCCATATAATAAGGCCACATTTCCTCACTTGCATTCTAACACTCTTAACTGAGTAGGAGAAAAAGTGATAGTTACAGCTAGCATGCAATTCTCGTAACCCACAGCCTATTATGTTTTTGCCACAACTATAGTAAGTGATGACTGAAACTACCATATCGCTAGTAGAGTCATGCAGTTTTACTTGAAAGTTTATTAGGACTGGGTCTAATTTGGGAATCTCCATGTAAGTGTATAGGACATGTGGAAATCATCTATCCTTTGTTGTTATTGGCAGGAAAAGGATGGTTAACATAGTGCTAAGATATTGACACTACCTCTAATAATAATTGTATACTGTCAGTTTTCTTACAAAAGTAATTTTAAAAGGAAAGAAATACACTCGAGAGACAGAAAACATGATATTATGTGTAAATATTTTTATTAATGTGAGTCTCACTGGCTTTGTGATATTTTGGGGGTGAGAAGTGGCAAATACTGGTTTTCCTCAATAGCCCACCTTCAGCAGAATTAGACTTAAACCATCCCAGATAAATAAGAATCTTTTAAAAAGCTTTTTTATTCTGAAATCAAGATTCACAGGAAATTGCAAAAGCAGCACAAAGAGATATGTGTACCATTTACCTAGCATCTCATAATATCTTACATAGCTATAGTTCAATATCAAAACCAAGAAGTTAACACCAGCATATTGCTATTAACTAGACTACAGAACTCAATTAGTTTTCACAATTTTTAAACTTGTATTCCTGTGTATGTTTATGGTGCCTATGCGTCTGTCTATATGGTTCCATGCCAGATTCCATATGGGCGCCAGTTCGAGTACTGGCTGCTCCACTTCTGATCCAGCTCTCTGCTAATGTGCCTGGGAAATCCCCGGAGGATGTCCCAAGTCTTTGGGCCCCTGTACCCACATAGGTGACCCGGAAGAAGCTCCAGGCTCCTGGCTTCTGATGTGGCCATTTGGGGAATGAATCAGCGGATGGAAGACCTCTCTCTCTCTGCCTCTCTGTAACTCTGCCTTTCAAATAAATAAATCATCTTAAAAATTTTGGTTAGCTTATAACTATATTTTCTGCAAACTTTGAAATATCCTCATCTGCTCTCAGAAAACAATAGAATTAAATTAGAAATCAATAAAAGAAAAATAGAAAGATAGTGAACCCCAAAGATTAAATGACATACTTCTAAATGACATATGGGTCAAAGAAGTCTCAAGAGAAATTATAAAATATTTTAACTAATTAGATAAAAAATTAACTCATCATTTGTGGGTTGTAATGAAAGTATTGCTTAGAGGGAAACTTAAAGCATTTAATGTATATATCAGAAAAGAAGAAAGCTCTAAAATCAATAATTGAAGGTAGATTTTGCTAACATTAAAATTTCCTGCTGCAAAAGACATCAGAGAGAAGCTGCAGGGTGAGCACTGGACTTAACAGTTCAGATGCCACATAGGAGGCAGGCGTTTAGCACAGTGGTGAAGTTATCACTTGGGGTGCCCATATTCCATACTGGAGTCCTTGCATTGGAGTCCCAGCTCTGCTTCAACCAGCTTCCTGTTAATACACACGCTGGAGGCCAGCGCCGCAGCTCACTAGGCTAATCCTCCACCTGCGGCGCCAGCACCCTGGGTTCTAGTCCCATTTGGGGTGTCAGATTCTGTCCCGGTTGCCCCTCTTCCAGTCCAGCTCTCTGCTGTGGCCCGGGAA